GAAATTGAATTTCATTTTCATTCCTAGAACTCGCTTTAACAGTTCCTGTTTTCCATGCACTAAAAATAAATGATGGGCATTTCATGGGCATCAAATTCCGAAGATATCCCGGATGTCAGTCTGAGCGAGATTAGGATGGCTCTCCAGCACCTTAAAAACGGTAAGGCCCCAGGCGAGGATGGAATTACAGCGGAGCTTCTGAAAGCGGGTGGAAGACCGGTACTTGAAGTCCTTCAGAAGCTCTTTAATTCCGTCCTCCATGGTGGCATTACACCGGAGGCGTGGAGCAGAAGTGCGGTGGTCTTGTTCTTCAAGAAAGGTGACAACGCTCTCTTGAAGAACTACAGACCGATTTCCCTTCTGAGCCGCGTCTACGTGCTGTTTTCGAGAGTCATTACGAATCGTCTCGCGCGCAGACTTGACGACTTCCAGCCTCCCGAACAAGCCGGTTTCCGAAAGGGCTTTAGCACCATAGACCACATACATACCCTTCGGCAAGTTGTACAGAAGTCCGAAGAGTACAATTTGCCACTATGTCTGGCGTATGTGGACTATGAGAAAGCCTTTGATTCCGTCGAAATTTGGGCGGTGCTGCAGTCCCTTCAGCGGTGCCAAGTTGACTGTCGGTATATCGAAGTGTTGAAGTGCTTGTACAGTAGGGCTACGATGGCTATCCGAGTACAGAACCAGAGTACGAAACCTATCCAATTGCAGAGAGGTGTAAGACAGGGTGACGTCATATCCCCGAAACTCTTCACCGCTGCGTTGGAAGACGTTTTCAAGCTTCTGGACTGGAAAGGATACGGTATCAACATCAATGGCGAGTACATCACTCACCTTCGATTTGCCGACGATATAGTCCTTATGGCAGAATCGCTGGAGGACCTAAGCACTATGCTCAATGACCTCAATAGTGTTTCCCAACGGATAGGTCTTAAGATGAACATGGACAAAACTAAGATCATGTTTAATGTCCATGTCACACCTATGCCGATAGTTGTTGGGAACACTAAGCTCGAAGTTGTTGACGAGTATGTTTACCTGGGACAAATAGTCCGACTGGGTAAGTCCAACTTCGACCGAGAGGTCAATCGACGGATTCAACTCGGCTGGGCAGCGTTCGGGAAGCTACGACACATCTTCTCGTCAGACATACCTCAAAACCTTAAAACGAAATTGTACAACCAGTGCGTGTTGCCAGTGATGACTTACGGAACTGAGACGTGGTCCTTCACTGCTGGCCGTATGAAGAAGCTCAAGGTCGCTCAGCGAGCTATGGAGAGGGCTATGCTCGGAGTTTCTCTGCGTGATAAACTTAGGAATGAGGATATCCGCAGTAGAACCAGAGTGACCGACATAGCCCAACGGATTAGTAAGCTGAAGTGGCAGTGGGCCGGCCATATAGCTCGAAGAACCGACAATCGATGGGGAAGAAAGGTTCTCGAGTGGCAGCCTCGTACCGGTAAGCGAAGTGTAGGGCGTCCCCCCACGAGATGGAGTGACGACCTGGTAAGACATGCAGGAAGTCGATGGATGCAGGTGGCTCAGGACCGTGTTTTGTGGCATTCTTTGGGGGAGGCCTATGTTCAGCAGTGGACTTGTGAAGGGCTGTAATGATGATGATGATGATGATTGTATGTACAGAGTAAGCGTATAAAATACTAACATAGGCAAAAGCGACCACCTGAAGTGTTTGCACCGCTGCTCATGGATTGATATCATTCAATCCTTGAGGGCGATTTTATTTATTAGACTTGACGATATCTTCGTGATGCGTTAGTAAATAGGCAGTGAACCCATTAACATGTGGTAAATAGAATAAAAATGGTATTGTTAATATTATATACAATCAAAAAAATCAAAAATAACGCTTACATTAACAATGGAGACTAAAATAAATCCTTCAAATCCAGTTCAAGATCAAGAATGTAATTTAAAATAAGTAGCAAGATAATTCAAACTAAATATGAAAAAATACAGAGCATTGTGTTGGCAATGTATGAATATAGATAATTTAGTCCCCTTGTAGTATTTTTTCAAGTATTGAAGATTTTCAGAAAAATACAAACTATCATCAAATTAGCAGTTAATCCTCCCGTTTAGCGTAAAAATTGCTCATAAGATTAATCTACGAGAACATTATCTATATTCTCGTGATTATTTTGAATTTAATTTATAAAAATAATGATTATAATGATGATTTCTTATATTTACGCGAACACTACACATTTTTAAATAAAACTAATTTTACGGATTTTATCGCGTATATTAATCTATTTTTTATATTCCCGACGTTTCGGGTGCTTTCCAGCACCCGTGGTCACGGGAGACTGAGGTGTTTGACGTCCTGCTGTCATAGTTAGCCCGGCTACCTTCAGTTTTTTAATATTAATTTTTGGTTCGATTTACGCAGAATGAGCTTACAGTATCTTGAAGTCTAGAAGTGGTATACTTGGGTTTGGATTTGATTTTATTAATTATGGGATCCCAAGCAAATGGCAGCACCCATCCATCTTCTCTATTGAAATTAGGATGTTTTTTAATTTCAATAGCCTCGCGAATCATCCTTGGGAGGAATCGGTGTTCTTTTGCGAGGATTTGTGGTCTATCAAATCTAATGTAATGGCGGGGACGATCTTGAACATGTTCACAAACTGCAGACTTCCCGATACGTCGGTGCTTCACGTCAGCTATATGTTCTTTAACGCGGGTTTTAATAGATCTTTTTGTTTGTCCTATGTACGAGAGACCACATTCACAATCCAGCTTGTACACTCTGCATCTTGTAGAGGGATATGACACTTGACGGATGGTAAAAATTGACCAATCTTCTTCAGCGGCTTGAAGTATGTTTTAATGGAAGCTCGCTTCAAGATATAGCCAACCTTGTCTGTGACTCCTCTGACATAGGGTAGTACAGCAGGCACACGCTCGACTGTGGCTGGCTTCACTCGGTCACTGTGACGTAGGCGCGGGATCCGAAGCTTGTTGTCTTGCAGTACCTGCTCGACGTGCTGAAGCTCGGCGGCCAGATGTTTTCTGTCACAGATCCCTCGTGCTCTCTGAAACAAAGATTTTCCCACGGTAGCTAACTGTGAAGGATGATGGTGAGATTCACCATTTAGATATCGGTTGGTATGGGTATTTTTTCTGTACACAGTATGACTAATAGTGTTATCAGGATTTCGGATGACTAAAACATCTAGGAAAGCTAAAGTATTGTTTGCCTCTAACTCCATTGTGAATTGTATTTTAGGGTTTATGGAATTAAGGTGGTTTAAAAATGCAGTTACTTTGTCAGATGGTAAAATTGTGAAAGTATCGTCTACGTACCGCTTGTAGAATCTTGGATTTACAGGAGCAGTAAGAAGGGCTTTCTCCTCAAAGTCCTCCATGAATATGTCGGCGACTACGAGAGATACAGGTGAGCCCATTGCCACTCCGTCTACTTGCATGTAGAACTCTTCTTTCCACAATAAATAGCCAGATGTGAGGCAGTGTTTGAGCAATACTGCATATTCTGTAGGCATGTTGTTATTTTCTAGCTTTCTAGTAACAATTGAGATGCAGTCTTCAATAGGTAGGCATGTGAATAGTGACTGAACATCAAAACTGACCATAGTTTCATTGTCAGCGAGATGTAGGTCTTTAATCTCACTAACAAATTAGTATGAATCCTATGTGTGTGCTCTGGTATGTCCTCTTAGTGGTGACAGTATTTTAGCCAAGTGTTGATCCAACTTATAAGTTGGTGAATCGATCTGGCTTACTATAGGACGTAGTGGAGCGTTTGGTTTGTGTATTTTCGGTAACCCATACAACCTCGGTGGTTTGGCACATGATGGTATTGTCGAATTCACGTCGAGGTCTAATTTTTCGGAGTATTTCTTTATTAAATCAGTAGTTGTTTTTAGTGTATTAGTTGTAGGGTCAATTTTGACCTTTTTGTATGTACTTACGTCCAATAAAAGTTGTTGTATTTTAAAATTATACTCTGACGTGTCCATTATTACCGTAGCATTTCCTTTATCCGCGCGGAGAATCGTGAGCTCTGGTCTGTTGCGTAAGTTGTACAACGCTTTAAATTCGTCTTTGGGGAGGTTTAGTTTTGGCGCTGAACTTCGACGTAACAAGGACGAAATGTCTTGACGTATAGCCTCTAAATCCTCTTTACCGATATTATTCTTAAACAGACAATCCTCAGCACTACGGATAATTTCCTCGTACGGGATTTTTTGCGGCGTTATAGCAAAATTCAAGCCTTTCGACAATACTTTTATTGTAGGTTCGTCCAGTGTTTCTTTTAACAAATTATAGACCGTGCGTTGTTTATTGTTTGCTTCTGTGGTCAACGGTTGTTGCGTTTCGTTTCTACGTTGACATGGATGTTTGGCATTTGATTTGATAGTTAATTTTTGGTATTTTTCTATTTGTTTGTCTTTGCATTCATTACATTTCGATATTTCGCGTTTGTTTAAAGTTTCAATGCAATAATTAAAATCAAATGTCGTTAAAACTGTCTTTAACTCACTGGACAAATTGTCTATGGTATTATTTATGATTTGTAAATCGAACCGTTTTTGCTGAATCACCGTTCGTAACAACTTTTTACTTGCCTGATTTAAGATCTTAGCGCTTCCTCGACTGTCCTTTTTAGTGAATATTTTGACGCATGTAGGAATGAGGTGGTGGTCACGACATCGTTTCAGAAACGTTAATGCCGTTAGATATCTTGCGCGCTTGGTCATGAGATCTTGTAATCGGCGAATTTTATTTGCAATTACCAGTCCGTACTGGTTTACATTATGATTTCTTTTATTTACGCGAACACTACACATTTTTAAATAAAAATAATTTTACGAATTTTGTCGCGTATATTAACCTATTTTTTTTTATATTCCCGACGTTTTGGGTGCTTTCCAGCACCCGTGGACACGGGGGACTGAGGTGTTTGACGTCCTGCTGTCATAGTTAGCCCGGCTACCTTCAGTTTTTTAATATTAATTTTTGGTTCGATTTACGCAGAATGAGCTTACAGTATCTTGAAGTCTAGCAGTGGTATACTTGGGTTTGGATTTGATTTTATTAATTATGGGATCCCAAGCAGATGGCAGCACCCATCCATCTTCTCTATTGAAATTAGGATGTTTTTTAATTTCAATAGCCTCGCGAATCATCCTTGGGAGGAATCGGTGTTCTTTTGCGAGGATTTGTGGTCTATCAAATCTAATGTAATGGCGGGGACGATCTTGAACATGTTCACAAACTGCAGACTTCCCGATACGTCGGTGCTTCACGTCAGCTATATGTTCTTTAACGCGGGTTTTAATAGATCTTTTTGTTTGTCCTATGTACGAGAGACCACATTCACAATCCAGCTTGTACACTCCTGCATCTTGTAGAGGGATATGACACTTGACGGATGGTAAAAATTGACCAGTGACTCCTCTGACATAGGGTAGTACAGCAGGCACACGCTCGACTGTGGCTGGCTTCACTCGGTCACTGTGACGTAGGCGCAGGATCCGAAGCTTGTTGTCTTGCAGTACTTGCTCGACGTGCTGAAGTTCGGCGGCCAGATGTTTTCTGTCACAGATCCCTCGTGCTCTCTGAAACAAAGATTTTCCCACGGTAGCTAACTGTGAAGGATGATGGTGAGATTCACCATTTAGATATCGGTTGGTATGGGTATTTTTTCTGTACACAGTATGACCAATAGTGTTATCAGGATTTCGGATGACTAAAACATCTAGGAAAGCTAAAGTATTGTTTGCCTCTAACTCCATTGTGAATTGTATTTTAGGGTTTATGGAATTAAGGTGGTTTAAAAATGCAGTTACTTTGTCAGATGGTAAAATTGTGAAAGTATCGTCTACGTACCGCTTGTAGAATCTTGGATTTACAGGAGCAGTAAGAAGGGCTTTCTCCTCAAAGTCCTCCATGAATATGTCGGCGACTACGGGAGATAAAGGAGAGCCCATTGCTGCTGTGCTGCCATCTGCTTGGGTCCCCCTGCATATCCTGCTCCTGAAAAGCAAGTAAGATGAGACATTTTAGATACATATATAACATCTTTTTATGGTCATGAGTTGGATTGACCAGGATACCACTGCTGTCTTTTAATTAGTAAGTGAGAAAAACCAGAGACTTTTCATAGATGTGTTTCATGTTTAGGTAATATGATAGGTGTAGATAAGTTATAGGCTGTTTTAATACAAATGGAATATAAATACCAATATATATATATATATACATATATACAGGACAGGAGAGAGATCAGGCGCAGGACCAATGGCTGTACATGCTTTTCGAGGTACGGGGGTGAGACAGCGTCAACTTCCTGACTCTGGGCTGCTACTGGGAATTTCTTGACGGAAAAACTCATTAAATAATTTTATTGACCCAACCCAGAATTTGAACCCGGGATCTCATAATCAGCAGTCGCGTTATACAACCACTATATGCACTCATATTTATAATCATAATAAAGACCAGAGTATAATAAATAACTTACAAAATTATTATGTGAAAATGTTTCTTTCCCTTCTTCGCTGAGATCGCCCTCGTTGAGTCACAGCATAAGATATCAAATTCCGCCATTTTTCTGAAAATGTATGTAGTACACACATGTGAACATTTTGTGTCTTCATGAAAATCGAAAAGAGTAAGAAGACAAAGTTTACATAGAAAAAGTTTCATATACAAAGTATCTTGGCGTTATGGTGGATCAGCGACTTTCCTGGTACAGACATGTTGAATTAGTATCGAGTAGAATTCGAAAGCTCACTTGGATATTTAAAACTTTAAGACATGTTGCCAGTTTAGATCTCTTGAATCAAATATATGTAGCGCTAGCTCAATCTATTATATATATAATATATTGTATACCAATTTGAGGGGGTACTTACAAAAGTAAATTTATTGAAATTGAAAGAGCTCAGAGATGTCTACTAAAGGTTATGCATTTCATACAGTACAGGTATTCCACTAGCTTTTTGTATGCATCAAGTGGGCTGATTTCGGTGAGGGAGTTATACATATTACACACTGTATTGAAAAAACATAAATCTTTGGCTTTTAATCCTATTTACAGTAGTAAAAGAAGAAATTATAGCGTAGCTCCTATTTGGAGAATGAAAACCACCTTTGCGAAACATCAATATAACAAGCAATCAGAACATTTATACAATCAGATTAATAAAATATTGCAAATATATCCATTAAAGACATATGACTGTAAGAAAAAAATAATGCAGTGGCTTAAGACAATTACGATCAAACTGAAGCTTTATTACAATTTTTTTTTATTTTTTTTTAAAAACGTTACCCCCACACTAGGATTTTCTCCTGTATCGTGGAGGCAGTTTACAAACACAAAATGCACAAGGACAAACATCCAGACCCGGAACAATTATTTGTAGGCCATACAAATACTTGTTTCGTGCGGGATTCGAACCCGCGCCCCCCAGCACAACAACTCATTGCTAAGCCACTGCGCCACGGAGCCGTATTATAATTTATCTTATAAGCTTATAACACATTCACTCACTGTCTTTTTTCATACATACACACACACGCGCGCGCGCGTACACATACACACACCCTGTTTCTTTTTTTGTTGAATGTATTTAATTAAGGGAGGGCGAGGACGTTCTACCACAAGTATCTTTATACTTAAAAGAAGTCCTCAAACTTATACTAATAGAATATGTTGGAAACAATAAACTTTCATTTCATTTCATTTCAAAGTTTATAAAATTTATATATATGAATTATGAAATACTAAATTCTACACCCAAATATCTAACTACTATATAGAAAAAAACACTCGAAATTTCATAAAGAAAAGAAATATATAACATAAAATTATATCGACATCGTAATAATAAACACTCAGTAGGAGCCTCTAATAAATCGAAATAAAATCAATCATAGGTATATATTTATTTGTTGTTATGTATTGTTTACGCCATTTTTGTTGAAAATAATTTTGCCATAATTTTCACGATATATCGGAATTATAATATAAAACGTCATTGTTGCACATTGGATTGTATAAAATATGAGTTTCTGTGTTTTTTTTTTTCATGATTTATGATGATTATTTACACTTTATATTTCATTTTCAGTTAATTCTGAGGATTTATTTCATACGTGAACGACGGTATTTGAAATGCTAATATTATAAATTGAATAAAAATTGTTAAAATACGAAATATAAGCAAAACTTTTTAAAAAACAATGTAATTACTTACCCTTTGTATAAAAAAACTCGACCAACTTTTCTATATATGTAAACACTTTCAAATTTTAAAAATAATACAATAGGGCAAGAGTCACGGACACGACACAGGGATATACTGTAGTAAATACGACGCATCATGGCGGAAACTCGTCATTTGAACTAAATACTCTTATTTTATAGAAGCGTAATTTAATAACGAGACTAGTTCTAATATTTTTTTTAGAAAATTAGATATATAGTTCTTATAAATAACATTTAAAAAACAATTGTTTTGAGAGATCTACAAAATGACATTTTGAGAATCCAAATGGATTCGCCGAGCTTTGAAAGGTTAAATTGCTTCATTTTTTCGCAAATGTATTAAAAATAGTTGTTCAGTACACGTGCGGAACCGTCATTGCAACTTGTTCCGACTGTCAACCCTCACCTCAATGACAGGCTTTCCGCACTCGGAATGAAATATATTATACCTTATGCATCGTCTAATGATGAAGAACACTCGACGCATCAAATAGAACGCAGTCACATGACTAATAAAATAACGAACTAGCCACACACCACAGGGCGCAACTTTATTCACTTACAAATATCCAGTCACAATATATTATCTATCCCGTTCTATTTTACCGGCGGCATATGGTAGTCAACTGATTTGTACCACTTTACACGTAAAATTATTTTTTGAAACCGTTCCTATAAAAGAGCAATGGCAGAAAAATAGTTGAGAAAAATTATAGCGTCTAGAAATAAGTTATATATAAAATGAGTTTTATTATTTTTCTATGATTTTTCAAATAAAAATGTTTTTTAATTAAAGCCACAGAAAAGACTAACATTTTTGGGAATATCAAATGACTGAAATCATTTTACTCTATTCAAATGTTGCCATTTAGTATATTCATACTATTTTCGTATACACTTTGTAACACTACCAACACAACACACAAAATATTTTTATATTAAGTTATTATTAGTAATAACTGTACTATCAGCGATAATAACAATAAAAGTGATATGGCTGAGAGTAAGTCTCTTACAAAGAATTTCCTACAATAATACATTATCTCAATCATAGTACTATGTAACAATTCCATTTAATGTTATGCCAACACTAGCTAAAATAAAATGTCACTGTTTTTTTTACTGGCTTTACGGTTCTGGGTTCTAGCCCTTCTGAGAATGTCACTATCATACAAAAGCCCTGGAGCCATGCCAGAAATATACATTCATAGTATGCAAATATATAATAGAGATACAATAATCTAAAAACTCTCAATTATGTATTATTTATTAAGCTAACATCAAACAACCACTGGAAGCATGACTCTTTCCAAGTGACATAGGACATAATCTAAGAAGGTTCAAATGTAAATATCTTTTTTTTGACGCCTTCTCAGTACAAAATTCTTTGACAGAGTTATTAAGGGACTGATGCTTAACATTTTAAGATATTTTCGGTATATAGACGCTACCATTTCTTCTCAACTAATTTTATGTATGAAAGTCTGCCATTGCTCTTTATAAATGTAAACGTGTTATTAAACATTTATTCGATAATTAAGTTAATGTGACACAAGTCAAATTAAACCTGCCGTAACAAAGTTTTGGGGATAATAAATAAGAGTTCAGTTCATTTTAGGATGACTTAAAATACAATGACTTAAAATACATTATTTTACACGTTGCTTATAGTGAAAACTACTTAGTAATTTTAATTTACACCAAATATCTCTCCCCAATTACAATTCGTAGAAGAATGAGCATTGGATAGAAAAAATGCTTTTTTATTTTGAATAACGTAGTTGAAAAATATCAAAATTGATAAAGGTCAAGTTTTATCTCTTTTCACTGAAGGTACACATATAATACCGTCATTTTTAATAGAATAAGGGTAACAAACGAGCACACAGTCCACCTGATGGTAAGTAGTTGCTGTAGACTGTATACATCTACATCTATCCTCGATTACGAATCCAAATGCAGATGCGTTGTCACCCATGAGGACTGCGATGGAATGCCTCTTTTCCAGTAAAAAGGGTCTCTGGTTCTCTACACTCACCATACGAAACACAGCAGCGTTAGCCTGCTATTTAACGAAGGTATTCTGTGAGAGCGTGGTCCTTCCCCGGTCGAGCCGACCCACAACCATACAAGTAATATAGCTGCAGCATGGGTCTACCACGTAAAATATAATACTAATCAACACAACTCCATCTAACACCTCCGTCGTGTAATAAATAAACAAAAAAAAAACAATAATTGAGCTTTATCAACTATTGAAGCTTATTGATCATGGCAGTGAAGTTCAGTGCGTGCGGTAAATACATTGTATATAAATTTGCTACATATGTTAAACAATTTTTATTTTCGTCAATGTGTAAGTATTATTTTTCTCTATGTACTACACATAGATAATTGTGTTGGCCTTGATATTGCTGCCTGATAAGATTGCCCTCTTGCGCTCATGAATGCCGCATCTGAGAGAGATGGGAAGTAAACTCGGATATTGGTTAGGAGTGAGTAAAAGAGACGGATAGTCCGGTCCTTGAAATTTCAAATTCTTTTGTTGTTTCCTATTTATTATTTTCAAATTTTATTAATTATTAATTATATTTATAATTATCACCTTAATACTAATATTATTAATATAAAGGTGATAATTTTCGATAAAATCATGAAAATCAAAAAGTCTTGAAAACTGTAACAGTTTTATTAAAACTTTTTGGCTGTTCTTAT